TGGATTTTGGAGAGAGAAAGAGAGAGAGGGAGCGATATTGAGCGCCGATATCGATCGGCTGAGGCAGCGTCCGCACTACCTTCGGCTCGTGTTTAATCGTTTCGGAGTTTTCTCTTTTATGCGTAAGCTTGCCTTCGGACTAACTTTTGCTCGAGAGGATCGGAAGGATCTCATCTTTGGTGTCACCAGGAGTCCGTTTTATATCGCTAATTACGGCCCGTGCGCCGGCGTATTTATTGTTTACTCCCACCGGGCGACGGAAAAAATAACAGCCTATTAGCGCGTGGGTTCTCAGTCGGCGGCTCTCGGTGACTATGCTCGGGATGCCTGCGTGCGGTTCTCAATCGGCGGCTCCCGGTCGACTGCGTTCTGTCGGACTTCCTACCCGGATTTTACTAAGGTTTTAAAAAGTGGGCACATAGCTCCTGCCTTTGTCCGACTGGTGGTCGTCGGGCGGCAGCTTCCGGCTGATATTCGCCGGGAAATGATGCGTTTCGAGGCACATCGTTACAAGATTGTAAGACGTAAGATTCAAGAAATTGACCAATCACAGTCGAGTATTCTCTTAATATTTGATTGGTCAATTTCTTGAAGGTCATTCTACAATGGTCGTAGCATAAGGTTGTAAGGCGTAAGAAATCGACTCAAGAAATTGACCAATCACAGTCAAATATTAAGAGAATACTCGACTGTGATTAGTCAATTTTTTGAGTTTTACGCCTTACAACCTTATGCTACGGCTATTGTAGAATGGTCTTTCCACGCAGCGGAAGATGACGCAGTAAACCAATACAAAAGTTGAGTTGAACTTTGACGCGCGGTGGATGTTATGTATCTGCTGATTGGCTATCGCGTCAGCTTTTGCCGCTTGGAACGCGTTACCGCGTCCTGTGTGCAGTAGCCCCATTGAACTATAGAATTGGAACGAGCGCTGCCTTTGTTATTGTCCGGTGACCTCGAGCCGAGGGAGACAGTATCTATTTGGTATAGCCGTCTTTCTTTTTCATTATCTTAGCTAAAAATATATGTCTGCGCATTATAGTTGTATACAGAATTTTTTCATCAAAAATTTAACAAAATAGAACATTATTTTATTTCGTTTATTGTCGTCATTATATTTCCTTAAATAATTCATTTCATTACAATATTTTTTATATATTCATTATTTGAACATATCATTGAATAAAGAATACCAGGAAGGAGCATAAATCGAAAATCCGACCGAAAATCCTTTGTTTGCCGTGCGACGGATGTGACGTAATGAAAGTGAACCAAATATCGAAGAATCAAATTTATGACGTCGTTGTAATATATAGGCTGTGTTCCGAAATTCACTGCCAGTACTGAAAATCTATAATGTACGTCATGGACGTAAGAAATACTAGACAGAGCATAAAGTCTTTTAGACGAGGGGAGTGAAATCTGAGGGGTAAAGGGTTTATTGTCGCGGCCATTTCAGATTTAGCGTCTATTTTCACGTCGCATGGACGTAAATCGAATAAAATATGAGAGATTCCGTGAAATCATCTATCATCTGAAATCGCTGTGTTATTCCGAATCATTTTTGAATATTAAGAAATTTAAAAATATCACTCCGTGAAATTAATATCCGTCGCCATCTTATATGCCTCATATTCCGTTGCAGTAGACATTTCTTTCCCCTCACCCTTTGAGCTTCACCCCCGCAGTAATACACTCTGTCCAGTATTTCTTACGTCCATGGTGTACGTCTTGTAAACTATAGATTTTCAGTACTGGCAGTGAATTTTGGAACGCAGCCATACTGCGACGTTACCATTGAATTCAATAGACGTCAAATGTATAAGAACTGTGTAAGAACTATGAAAATTGAATAGACTGAGAATTAAAGAAAAAAAATAAAAAATGGTCAGTTGTTGCTTATGTGAATTTTCTAAAACAAAAGAACGCATAGAAACATTTCATACTTAAGTGGTATAATATATTCTATTTAAAATAATAGAGTCAAAATAAAAGTATTACAACTTGTAGGTTAATTTTATTGTATTTTATATCTAACAATAGTCATGATTAGTAAAGAATTTATTTTTATTACTTTCATATTTTTTGTTTGATGCATGTTTAGTGTGTTTGAAATATACCGCCAGATATGTGATGACGTCATAAAACTAACCCGATGGCTGTGTTCCAAAATTCACTGCCAGCGCTGTAATCGTTACGTCATAAAGCATGCTACCAACAGCATTCCATTTTATGAAAGCGTGCTGTAATCACGAATACGATTTTCAAAACGGAACGCTACTTCAGTGCTGGCAGTACTAGCAATTGAGTAATCAATTTAACTTAAATATAGACAGACGACAAAAATTTTTAATTGGAATGTATTTAAACTTAATACTTGAAGAATCAGATGAAGACTCAAGCGATGAATCTGATTCGGAAGTAGTTATAAATTTAATAAAAAATTATTTTGAACGTATACCTAAAATACGTTGCAATAATTATATCGAAAACATAGTTTGGCAATGTACAGATAGTGATTTTAAAAGTCATTTTCGGTAAGTAATAATTTATTTAATATATTATTGATTATTTAATCAATATTTAACCAATATTTTTGTGAAAAAATATAATTTATAATTTATAATCTTATATCCGTAATGATTATTTTGATATCCCAATTATTGTGCAACAAAATCAACCTATACAAAATCAACATGTTGAAAATACACCTGAAGCTTTAAGAGAAGAAGGTATTGAAAAACGTAATGCAATTATATATTATTTGCAAAATGAAAATTTTTAATAAAAAATTTTATTAATTTTTATAAAATTATAGAATATTATTTCTCATTTCTATAGCACTGACGATTATTATTTGCATTGCTTATAATATTATAATATCAAAATAAAAAATAAAATAACGTAAGATTACTACACACTATACATTCGTTTCCAATAAATTGTACATATAATTTTGTTTTTATTTTAAAGTTTTATTAAAGAAAATTATCACAACTTATAATCACACAATAGTTTTATATATTATATAAAATAAAATAAACTTGTATTTATGTAACAATAACTATACAGGGTTTGTCAAAAGTGTGGAAACCCCTAAATAACTTTTGTAAAAATGAAAATATCAAAAAACGGTAAAACACGTATTTTGATATTTCAAAAAAGCTACCCTATGACATGGATACCGATCATCCCCCACCCTCTGGTACGCGGGGGTAAGAGGGGGATTGAAAATTTTAAATTGGACTAGGGGTCGAGTGGGGGCTCATTTGAATGGTCTTTTCATAATAAACACACCCTTAAAATTTTAAGTCGCTACGACCCCCCCATTAAAAATGGCGGCCGTTCAAATTTCGAAATTTCATGCACTTAGTGTTATCCAGGATCAACTGCGTGGAAGTGGCATGAATTTGATCCCTTGTGTGTATGTGATGAATCGTCGAATTAATAAGTCCACTGTCTTCAAAACAATAGAACGTTTTAGAGAAACTGATAGCGTAAAAAATCGTCCTAAATCAGGGAGATCATCGTCTGCCACTAACGAAGAAAAACAACTTCATGTTCTGCAGACATTTATTGAAGATCCCCATTCTACTATTAACAGATCCGCTCTAATTCACGATATTGCTCCCAAGTCCGTTTGGAGAATTTTAAAGAAAAATAAGTTCTATCCATACAAATTACAATATGTTCAAGAATTGCAAGATGGAGATCTGGAGCGTCGTGTAGGTTTTTGTGAAAGAATGATGGCACTAATAGATGTCCGGCCCATCTTCCCTTATCAAATTGTTTTTACAGACGAGGCAACTTTCACGTTAACGGGAGAAGTTAATAATCAAAATTTTCGTTTATGGTCAGATGAGAATCCGAATTGGGTGCGGGAAACTCACACACAATACCCACAAAAAATTAATGTATGGTGTGGAATAATAGATGGTTACTTAATAGGGCCGTTTTTCTTTGAAGAAAATCTGAACGTTCAAAGATATGAGATATTACTTGTAGATCAAATAATTCCAGCCATACGAAATAGTTTTCCAAACAATTTCGAAGAAATATGGTTTCAGCATGATGGAGCTCTTGCTCATTTTGGTTTAGGGCCACGTCAAATTTTAAATGAGACTTTTCCATTACGATGGATAGGAAGAAGGAACAGAAATGAGGGAGGAGAGGATTGGCCACCTCGGTCACCAGATCTAACTCCTCTTAATTATTATCTATGGGGATACCTGAAAAGTAAGGTGTACAAAACAAAACCTGAAAGCATCCAAGAATTGATACAGCGAATAAGGGATGAAATAGATTTGATACCTTTTGAAACGAATTGTAGAGCCATTTCTGCATTCTATCAAAGATTGGCATATTGTCAGGAAGTAAATGGCAACCACTTTCAGCATTTACTTTAACACACTGAGTAAAATTTATTTTAAAACACGGAGTAAAAGGTTTTGAATCATTAAAGAGAGATGAGAGTTTTCAAGTCTGTTCTGCAATCTATCACCACAATGTACACATTCACACTTGTTTAGCCACACGCGCGCGCACACACACGCACACAAGGGATCAAATTCATGCCACTTCTACGCAGTTGATCCTGGAACACTAAGTGCATGAAATTTCGAAATTTAAACGGCCGCCATTTTTAATAAGGGGGTCGTAGCGACTTAAAATTTTAAGGGTGTGTTTATTATGAAAAGACCTTTCAAATGAGCCCCCACTCGACCCCTAGTCCAATTTAAAATTTTCAACCCCCCTCTTACCCCCGCGTACCAGAGGGTGGGGGATGATCGGTATCCATGTCATAGGGTAGCTTTTTTGAAATATCAAAATACGTGTTTTACCGTTTTTTGATATTTTCATTTTTACAAAAGTTATTTAGGGGTTTCCACACTTTTGACAAACCCTGTATAACTAATAAAATTTTTAACAATAACTTATGTAAATTTGTACTATATGTATTTGGTATATAATAAATAATAATCTTATTAATAATAGTCATGTTATTTTTTGAGTATTTCTGTAATTAAATTTTCTATGTTACTTAAACGCGTCATTCTTTCTTTATGTCTTTTTTCAAGATTGTCTTCTTTTTCCTTTTTAAATTTTAAAGATTTTTCACAATAATCTTCTAATATGTTGTTAATTTTTCGCTTCTTTGGTACTGCAAATAAAAAAGATAATTTTAAAGAATTAATAATTAGAAAAAAGTAATAATGCCTAAATAATTGGAAAATATAATAAAAAAATGTAAATAAATGCAGATATTTCACATTATAGATTCTATAATTATGTTTAAAAAATAAAATATTTATTATACACTATATATGTAATCATAATGTTTTATAAAAAAAGTACCTAGTTTTATTGGATCTTCGTTTTCTGTATCTTCACTTATAATATTAATGTTACTCCCAGCTGTCGCTATTGGAGCAATCCAAGGTTTGGTTCCAAATATCTCATGCATAACCTGTATAAAAAATTTTTTTCTACATGTATACTTAATAAATAATTATGAAAATTTCAAGCAAAAGAAATATTGCTTTCTGATTAATAAATTGTCTTTGCAAAATAGCAATTTGCACTTCAATCTTAATTAAATAATTATATTTGGTATAAATTGTATAATACTTTTAATTAATAATATACCTCATAATATTCCCATTTTTTCCTATTGTTTCCTGACTTTTTATTGTGATCAGTAACAGATTTATACGTTCTTTTCAAACACTGAAATTTGGTGGAACATTTTATTGGTGATATTTGATGTCCTGCTTCTCCTATTTTTTTTGAAATATTGTTCCAACATTGCCTGGCTATAATTTTTGGATTATTGAACATTTCCATATGCTCCTTATATAAATTAATTAATAACAACGTTTCAACTCGTGTCCATATATGTTGCTCTAAACAGATAAAAATAGAATATAAAATGTTAAACAGATATAGAATCTAAACAGATAAAATATAATACATATAATAAATATAATACATGTTCTTTTGTTTGAAAATTATTTTTTTAATTTGTACCTTTTGTATTGATTTCAATACTACAGTCTGCAGTATCATCAGGTTTGCGTTGCACCTCTGTTTCATCATGTCTCACTTCATCATATTTTGCATCTGTATTTGTAAATGTATCTTCTATAAAATATATAATTTATTAATTTGACTATTTGAAATTGTTTATTTCTTATGCTGTATGTTCATAATATTATACAATATTATGAACATACAGCATGACAAATGGACAATTTCAAATAGTTCAATTAATAAATTAAACATCAAAATAATTTGTTTGTTTGATATCTGTTGATTATCTGTATGACATTTGTATGACATTTTGCAATTCCATATACGTACCTTTATTTGTGTATTTTTTTGCTTGACGCAATAATGAATAAGCAAATTCATTATCTGAAAAAATTCAAAATAAAATCGTATAATATGAATCTTATAGTAAATAATAATATATGTATATTACAATAAATAATGATAATGTCATTATTTGGGCATTCAAGAATAATAGATAAATTAACTCAAACTATAAGCAAATAGGTTATGTATTAATTTCTATTCCGAAATATTTGTAAAATGAATGCATATATTTACAAAAGTTGTAAATTTACAATTTCTTGCAGCATCTGTAGACGATATTAAAATTTTATACTCTTCGTTACTTTCTGCATCAATAAGAGTGAACCAAGGTTCTTAAATACACAGGTTACCTCAATGGCGATCTTTTAGGTGGGGGCAAGAGCTGATATTGGCCGGTATTCATAGTCCGATCTTATATTTGAGATCGTCTTAAGTTCGAGCTTGAAATGCTATGCAGCTATTTGATTGGTTGAATGAGGTCTTAAGTCAACCTCCAAGCAGACTTAAGACGATCTTAAATATAAGATCGGACTATGAATACCGGCCATTGTGATGTCACTGTTGGTGTATCTATCTCTTTTCAATTGAAATGTGTCCTTTTTCAGTGTTCGTATGGTTATTATTGGGTTGTCCGGAAAGTTCGTGCGGATTTCTCAATAGATGTCGTTCAAAGGCGAATTTTACAAGTTTATGTCGATGTGATATGTCAAATGCTTTCGTGTTTTGATTAGTGACATTTCAACGCATACTTAGTGATATTAATTATCCCAATAAATTAAAAACTTTTTACTTGACATTAGTTTAGAGATGGAAGGAAATAACGTGTTTTTTCGATGCATAATGCTTTTTTATTTCCGTAAAGGAAAGAACGCGACACAAACTCGAAAAAAAATATGTGCCGTATACGGGGAAGATGCCGTAAGTGATCGCATGTGTCAGAAGTGGTTTGCTAAATTTCGTTCAGGAGAAATGAATATTGAAGATGCTCCTCGCTCTGGTCGGCCAGTCACCACTGATGTCGACCAAATAACAGCTTTAATCGATTCCGAGCGGCAGATCACAGTTCGGGAAATCGCAGCGAGGTTAAACATTGGCAAATCAACTGTTTCCGAACATTTAAACAAGCTCCAGATGGTAAAAAAGCTTGATGTTTGGGTGCCGCACGACTTAACTGAGAAAAATCGTATTGACCGCATTTCCATCAGCGATTTGCTATACAAACGCAATGAATACGATTCATTTTTAAAACGCATCATAACAGGCGACGAAAAGTGGATAATTTATAATAATGTCGAGCGTAAAAGGTCGTGGAGCAAGCGAGGTGAACCGCCATTAACCACTTCGAAGGCAGGCTTACATCCGAAAAAGGTAATGCTCTGCATTTGGTGGAATTGGAAGGGGATAGTATATTATGAGCTACTACCGGACAACGAAACCATCGATTCGGACAAGTACTGTTCACAGTTGGATAAATTGAAGATAGAAATCGCCAAAAAGTGTCCGGAATTGATCAATAGGAAAGGCGTCGTTTTTCATCATGATAACGCCAGACCTCATGCAAGTTTGCAGACTCGCCAAAAATTATTGGCGTTTGGCTGGGATGTTTTGCCTCATTCACCGTATTCCCCCGACATTGCACCCTCGGATTTTCATTTATTTCGGTCGCTACAAAACTCAATTAATGGTTTGAACTTTGCTTCTTTGCAACTCCTCAAAAACTACTTGGACAGCTTCTTCGCCGAAAAAACCCAAGACTTCTATGAGAGAGGAATTATGAAATTACCCGAAAGATGGAAAAGTATTGTGCAAAATAATGGTGCATATATCACAGAATGAAATAACTTTTAACAACAAAATTTTTTCATTCGAATTTTGCTTAAAAATCCGCACGGACTTTCCGGACAACCCAATATAAAGCAGTGGCGTAGCCAGAGGGGGGGCTATGGGGGTTGCAGCCCCCCCCAGAAATTCTTAATAATTTCAATAATTTCATAGCTGATCACAAAAGTGAATTTCTGTCATATATGCTATTTCACGCATTTAATATGCTCCACTCAGAAACGTATGCCTCGCTTTCCTTCGTAGTCCAGTCGTCAAAAACTTTTATTATCTTCACAGTTCATCGAGTTTATATTTTTTCCGACTTATTTCGCTATTATTTATTATAGTTATTTTATTTCCGTGGAAATAAAACCTAATATTTTTATACAATAAAGATCCGACAATGACTTGCAAGGCAAGAGTCTTTATCGGCATTTGTTTTGTCAACTAGTTTACTATTCTTGAACGCTCACCGCGTGGCGCTCACTCGAGTCGTGGTCCAGAGAAATCCACGACACTCCATTGCTTTAGCGGCAATTGTTATGCCGTGACTACTTTACAAGCGAATGCGTTATACAGCATTATGCTATCATTGCCTAGCAATATTATTGCAATATTATTTTGAATTTTCTTGATTTTATTGTGAAGTGGACTACGTCTCACGGGGCACAAAGATGTCTAAAAGACGACTAAAACTGGAAAACATATTTTCGTCAAAGACGTCTTTTAGTTAGAGACAATAGTCGACGAAAAGTCGACTAAAAGTCGGCTCATGACCCGAATTTAGTCACTAATCTGTCAAGCCAAAAGACGACTAAAACACGACTAAAAGACGACCAAATCTGTACATTTTCGGTCGTCTTTAAGACATCTTTTTATTTGATTTAAAGACTTATTTAAGACATCTTTTCGTCGTCTTTTAGTATTTTGTGCCCTGTGGGATAGTACATACCACATTTTGAAAATATATCATATCGGTTTGCACTCTTTCCAGTTACAGTACATTTGTTCTAAAATAGCTGAAAAACTTTTTTTTTTAAGTTAAGATGAGTAGTCGTAAATCTATGCAGAAATCGGATATTCGTGATTTTTTTCAAAACTCTGCTAAAAAATTGCGAATAGAAACACAGCACTCAAACGATGATATACCTGGTCCCAGTAGTAGTATTACAAGCACTGAAAATAAGAGAAATAAAAATAATGAAGCTGTTGATTCATCTTTACCATCAACTTCATTATCACAGCAAACTTATGATATCGGTTCTTATGTTTATGGTGGACCAAATGCAGAAATTATTGACGATGTCAAAAAAGAAAACGTATTTCGAAACATATGGGTCCCACCTCTTACTTACATTTTTCCTGTTCAGCAAAGTCAGTCTTTTACAAGACATTTTCAACATAAGTGGTTGAATGATTACCCTATGGTTGGCCTATTCAGATATCCATAAAGGATTATTTTGTAAAACTTGCGTTTTATTTTTGACTAATTTAGAAAGAGGAAAAGGTTCTTATCAGCAGGTTAATCAATTTGTACGATCTCCGTTCACAAATTGGAAAAAAGCTACCGAGAGTTTTGCCAATCACGCCAAACTCAATTACCACAAAGATGCGTGTACTTCAGCCGAAAATTTTTTATCGGTGTTCGATTCAAAAATTCTGGACGTATGTTTGCAGATTAATACGAAAGCAAAGAAAAAAGCCGATGAAAATAGAAAAAAGTTGCGAACGATTATTCAGACACTTAAATTTTGCGGTCGACAAGAATTAGCTCTTAGAGGGCATATTGACAGTGGTCGTTTGAAGAACCAACACACAACGATGGCAATTTTCGTGCTCTATTAAGATTTCGCGTTCAAAGCGGTGATGAGATGCTGAAGGAGCATTTGTTAAATTCGGCTCACAATGCTATGTATACCAGCCCAGACATATAGAATGAATTTATACAGCTGATTGGCGCGGAAATTATTTCACAAATCGTTAAACGAGCAATCAAGTCGCGGTTCTTTACCGTTCTCGCAAATGAAACTACGGACATTAGTCGCATTGAACAATTCTCCTTGTGCATTCGTTACATAGACTTGGAATTGTATGTTGTACGTGAAGATTTCCTTTCATTTGTTCCTGTCCACGATGTAACCGGAGTTGGATTAGCGAGAACTATTAAAGACCAATTGCAGAATCTCGGTTTAGACTTGCAAAATCTTCGTGGTCAAGGGTACGATGGAGCTGCTGCAATGCGAGGTGCTTTTAACGGTGTGCAGGCAGTTATTCAAAACGAGTTTCCTAAAGCAATTTATACCCATTGTATTTAACATTGTCTCAATTTATGTTTAAATGATGCTTGCAAAATCGATTCAGTACGAAATGCGTCCGTGTTATCTCTGAAGTTTGTACATTTTTTCGTACATCGGCCCGTCGAACTGCAATTTTATCACGCAAACTAGAAAGCTCCGATTCAGCGTCAACTAATTTAAAGAAGTACTGTGAAACTAGATGGGTAGAAAGACACGACGCTATTTCACTATTCTGTGAGTCTATCACTGAAACGATTCAAGCTCTTGAGGATTTAATTGAATCTAAAGGAGCGGATTCCGGAAAAGCCCAGCAACTGCATTATTCATTGTGTAATTTTTCTTTTTTAATTGCCCTTTTTGTTACGCAACGTATGCTAAGCTTAACTCATGCGTTGTCAAAAAATTTGCAATCGGTCGATATCGATTTGTGCAGTGCTTTAGCATCACTCGAAATAACTACGATGGCCATATCTAAAATCCGTGAACATGCGGAAGATGAATTTTCTATTATTTATTCAAAAGTTTGTACAACAACTGCTTTATTTGGAATTGAACCATCCACGCCACGACTTGCGGGTACTCAACGACATCGCCGAAATGTTCCTGCTGACTCAATTGAGGAACATTATAGGCGAGCTACTTTTATTCCTTTTGTAGAATATTTGTTGCAGTCATTGAACGATTGTTTCGTCACACATAGAGATCACATTATAGGCTTGCAGAAATTGATTCCGTCAATACTTGTAAAAGAGAAAAAAATGGTGTAAAAAAATTTGTCGATTTGAAACCTGTACTTGACAAGATCTTCTCAACAATGACGCTATTGTACAAGGTGAGTGGGAACTGTGGCAAACGAAATGGCGCAAAAGTCAAGAAGAGAAAAAAATCGTTCCTTCTACAGCTATTGAAGCATTGCGACATTGTGATGTCAATTTTTTTCCCAATTTGCATACACTACTGCAAATATTAGCAACTTTGGCGATTTCTACAGCAACAGTCGAACGCAGCTTCTCAACATTAAAAAGATTAAAAATCTATTTAAGAAATAGTACTGGGCAAACGAGACTTACTGGTCTTACTTTAATGAGCATTCATCGGGAACTACATGTCGATGATGACATTTTGCTTAATAAATTTTTAACTAAAAAGAATCGTCGAATACAATTATAGATTGTAATAACATTAACTTCACACGAGTACAATCTGTAAAAATTGGCATTCTACATTAAAATTTTTTTGTTAAATGTTAAAAATTTCAATGTTAAAAAACATTCACCCTTCTATTTCAGTTTTGTTTTAATTTAAATATAAAATTTGGTTTTTAAAATCAAACTCAAATAAACAAAGTCGCGAGCATAGCATAAAAATTATAAAAATAAAAAAAAAATATATATATATATAGAAAAATATAAAACAAAAAAAATATAAAA